AAATGAGATGTGGCCATTGGCATATTCCGAAAAGGGCTACTAAGTTTTTCAGTCATCACAACCTTGATTTCCCTACTGACACTGTCTCAATGGGTCCCCTATGACCTTTGTCAGTTTGATCCGATTGATAAACTCCTCATGCGACTCTTTATAGATCACGTCATCAGGTGACTTCGATCTCGCGTCAGATGTTCTGATATTGAGACTGATCCCAACTGAGTACAGTATTCCGTATTACACACTTTCAAGTTATAAATGGTCAAGAATATGAAGTAACGGTACAGGGTGTACAGTTGGACTTAAAAAAACCGATAATATACGCCGTAAAATTGGATTCGTAAACACGTAAGTGTTGAAATATAGTGAGGTTAGTATTGCACCGAGCAGGCGTGAAGCTGCCCAGCATTCTTATAATTTTGTAAAACAAGCCCTCCAAGAATTCGGTGATGTCCGTTTGCCGAGTGTTTACAGCACTGGCTCAGAAAGCCTCAATGTGATCGGGGTTGGGTGTCTCGCTTTGTAGCTGGTCACCCTTCCCTTGCACTTGGAGTACTCCTGTACAACCAAACATCTCAAACAGTCTCTGCCGAGGGAGCCCTGCTCATTGTCTACATCTGGCAGAGGTGGTTTTCCACCAAAGTGAAATACCAACATACGGGTCAGTGAACAATTGGAAGTAGTAGAAGAATAGTACTTGGATAAAAGCCCTGATTCCTATTCAGTCAAGAAGTGGCTTGCGAACCACATTCACCACCGCTTCCGTGGTTGTGGTAATGTTCACCAATCAGATTGGGCGTTGAAGGGCATGGGGCACAGATGTTTAAACTCGTCTCAAGGGTGTATAATTCAATGAACTGGATACCATGGATTGCAGTTTTCAAACATTGTCCCTTATCACTGCTTTACGGGTTAGGTTTTGGTTGCTCTGGGGCTCCGGTTTTTAATCCCTTAGAAAATTCACCTGCTTCGGTCTGGGTAGCCTAGCAGTAATTCACCTACGAGCAAATCATAGAACTTTTTCTTCATTTCAATGATTTTTGTACCGTGATTTGTTTGACACAGTCTGAATCCAGACGTATGTGAAATATGCTAATGTAACCACCGGTTTAAACATGCAGCCAATGACATATTAATGGTTCATCGACAATATGGATAGCCGATGGATAAAACAGATGATCCCAATTTTACAACAAAACATTTTCTGCAAGTTTAATATTCCATAGATATATGTCTGTCCTATCTATTGGGCATGTCCCTCCCCTAGAACCAACAGCGTCCCAAGAACCTCCGTTACAATCCCACGCGGACGTTAAGATCCGCAACTGTGACCAAAGAAAGAAATTACTTCTGTTTGACGTAGCAGCACTGTTCACTGGCAGTCCAAAGCAATTATCTTTAGCCCCCCCATGACCATTGTGAGCAGTCCCTGTGTTCTGGAAACAACGTTGTTATCGGGACTGACCTAATAAAGTCAACAGAGCTCTGTATTGAAACGTCTACAAATTGATGAAAGGGGATATGGACAAGTGCTTGACACGTCAAAGTAATCTCAAGTTTCGAGCCTGTTTTCACACTGTGACGAAAACTCCAAACATTTAAAAATGCTCGTCTTCTCCAAATCCGGTATGAATCGGTAGGAACCAAAACGCTCCGCAATCAGTTAAATGATGTGTCACCTGGAATAAACTTCACATACGGGCAGAAGAAGACGATAACCTACCCCCATTCTGGTGTATCTTGATCATGCAAAAGCCGCTATCTACAGAAAGCAACGATAACGACCGATGCTACAGTAGCATTTGCCCTGTTTTTCACCTGAATAGCCGTTGGCAAATTTCGTTGCGCCGGTTCGATACGTTACAGCACGAATCATGGACCGATTCTCGTTCCTTATAAACAACTGTACCGTGATTTACCTGTCACAGTTTGAAATCAGAACGGCAGCCTCAGACAAGAAATCCAGAATAAGAAACAAGATTGATCGATCTATTTTGCTCCAGTGGACAACTCCAAAATTCAAGTTAGTTTGTTTGACCGACTGAAGTGTTACGTTCTAATTTTGAAGAGTTCAGTAACCCTGATGGGATTGGAATCCACGCACTGGTACGGCCAACGCTTCTGTACAACTCAGCCTCTACCGGCTGAGTTACGAAGCTATACCCATGAATTAACAAAACAAATGAAATGACCAGGACTTACCTACATACAGGGCATCCGACGCGGTTGACTACGTGCTTCGCCCTTTTGATATCATTGTCGCCCATATACCTGGAGGCCAATTTTATCCAACTGCAAGGATCACCTAAAATTAACCTACCTACCTCAAACGTTATACACGAAGTAGGTATAGTGGCATGTAAACAACCGCAACCTCCCGTATATGTACATGGTACCCCAACAGTTGGGATACCATATGCTAATCTGAGGTCACACGTTTGAATCTACTGACTGTACTATGGCAGATCCGGGGTCAAAATCCCCGACAAAAGAATCGCGGCACCAGTTACGAGAGCGTGGTATGCTTATCTGATATTTGAAGCCACCTTGTTCAATCAGCATCTCAAAGTCGATAAGCATTCCGTAGTATTTGCGCAAACGGTAGTGAATGCAGGATTAAACGATAGATAAATGAACAATAAGGCAAATCGCACACTACTGTTTAATAACCAGTCTTAGTTTGAATCGAGAGTGTACGGTAAACGCTCTGACATTCTCTTCGCCCTTGTCTCCTTCATGTATTCGGTTATTCACAACAAAAAGAAGCTGATTTTTGAATGGCTTGGCATGTTTATGAAAGCCTTTTACTCATAACATTTTGTCGAGAAAGTATTCAAGGGTGAAGAAATATCAAGGTGAAGGCAGCATTTCGCCTGGGTAAAGTAAAGGACAGTGGCCTTCCTCAC